AGGATATCTGTTATTCTTTATACCAGTGATGTAAATGTTGACCAGTTTACAGCCAACTGTATGTTCTGGTTTTTCAGAGTTGTTACATGATATCTAGGATATCTGTTATTCTTTATACCAGTGATGTAAATGTGCACCAGTCCACAGCCAACAGTATGTTCTGGTTTGTCAGAGTTGTTAAGTAATAGCTAGGATATCTGTTGTTCTTTATACCAGTTATGTAAATGTGCACCAGTCCACAGCCAACAGTATGTTCTGGTTTTTCAGAGTTGTTACATGATATCTAGGATATCTGTTATTCTTTATACCAGTTATGTAAATGTTCACCAGTCCACAGCCAACAGTATGTTCTGGTTTGTCAGAGTTGTTAAGTAATAGCTATGATATGTTATTCTTTATACCAGTGATGTAAATGTTCACCAGTCCACAGCCAACAGTATGTTCTGGTTTGTCAGAGTTGTTAAGTCATAGCTAGGATATGTTATTCTCTATACCAGTGATGTAAATGTTTACCAGTCTATAGCCAACGGTATGTTCTAGTTTTTCAGAGTTGTTAAGTAATAGCTATGATATGTTATTCTTTATACCAGTGATGTAAATGTTGACCAGTCTACAGCTAAAGGTATGTTCTGGTTTTTCAGAGTTGTTACATCATATCTAGGATATCTGTTATTCTTCATACCAGTTATGTAAATGTGCACCATTCTACAGCTAACGGTATGTCCTGGTTTTTCAAAGTTGTTACATCATATCTAGGATATCAGTTATTCTCTATACCAGTGATGTAAATGTTGGCCAGTCTACAGCCAACGGTATGTTCTGGTTTGTCAGGGTTGTTACATCATATCTAGGATATCTGTTATTCTTTATACCAGTGATGTAAATGTTGACCAGTCTACAGCCAAAAGTATGTTCTGGTTTTTCTGATTAAGTCATCTGCTCTTCTATACATTTTGTAATAGTCTCCATTTTTCTTTTAAGGTAGAAGCATTGGATCTTTAATATTTGTAGCATTATTTCATGTTTTCAGTAATCTATATATGATTAGTGTTTGTATAATATATATGTAATTGATTTCTTTTAACTAAATTTTAACAATCTACACATTGACTCTATCATTTGACCAATTTTGTATCCTTCAGATCAACATGAAAATATAAATACTACAACTCTGATTGTACTAATTATATATTCACAAAATTTGACAAGCTTTTTGCAAACATTACAAGGTTGTTGTACAAAAATATTCTTAATTTTTTTTTGATAAAGTATTTCTACTAAAGATTTAACTCTGAATTTAGAAAGCCTTTACTGAGTTAACCTGATTGTAAGATGGTTTTCATGCTAAGAATACAATACCTTTTCACCTTACAGTTTTCATATTTTATTTGTATAACCTCTAGAACCTAAAAGTTTTTTCACTAAAATGTTATATTTTATCAATTATTTTCTCTATTCTAACACAGGAATTAACATGTAAAAAAAAAAAAGAAATATGTGTAGTAAATTTTTTTTTCTTCTTTCTTTCAAGATATACTACTTATTCTAACAGACACTTAGTTATTTATCCTCAATCAATTATTATATATAAACTAGTGTACCAGTGAGAGGGATAGTACAGTAAATACAGTGCTGATTACATCATACGTGTTCATTCTTTTCTAACTTTATACTTATATGTCAGTTACTTTTATAGCAATAACTGAAAAATATACACAAAATAAATTTAGTACATATGTTTGGGTCTTGTACTGTTTTGCAATCAAAGTCTCAGTGTTGATAAAAGCTAACCTTAATTTTTGGTACTTTGCTAAATTTTTAATTATTTCGAAATATTGAATTTAGAACACAATATAATAATATGTCGAAAGAATATAATGTTTTATGAATTATAATTTTACTGGCTTTCTAATTAAATCATAAGTGGTTTATAATAAGTCCTTTGGTTGGTTGAGGTAACCAAAATCTGTTATCAGAATGAGCTAGCTTTTATAAGGAATTGATTAAATTAAGATCATGTCATTCTTTTGGTTATATATATATATATAATCCAATTATAAATGTCGGGAGGATTCTTGAAATTTTTTTAAAGACAGATTGCGATAGTAGGCGTAACTTGTGATTTATACCTTAGTAAAACAAGAACGTTGGAGGCTCTAAGTTTAGAATATGTCTTAACTATATCTATACTAAATTTGTATTAAAACTCAGAACCTCAGATAGGGGCAGAAAGAATATCTAAAATGGGGAATTTGGAGCAAAGAAGTGTTACATCATACAGAGAAGTGAAAACTGAGAATTTATTTTAATATTTCTTTTTGAAATTAAGATAATATAAGAATTTGGATTATTTACTATATTTTAATGTTGAATTTATTAACATACTTTGATAATAAAGTTGTTTGTTTAAACTTTGAATATAAAGGTTGGGACATATGTACTTTTACTATCCACATTGAGAGAGTTAACTGGTTTATTTAATTCACTTTAGATTACCTTAGCTAATCAGGCTGTGAAGTACCTTGAAGCTGTGTGCAACTTCGTGCTGACAGGCAACGCGATGGAACACAACCACTTGGACAGTGAAAGGATTTACACCATGTACAAAGAAACGTTAGATTTGCTCAGGTAACGTTTGCTGTCAGTAGAGTAGGTACCTACCAAGCTGTAACGTGTAGGCAGAGTTTTATGTTCAACACTTGTTTTCTCTCTACTGAGGCTCTGGATATACGATAGTGGCACGGCACTGTGTCTTGCAGCTTTGATGGTGGTTGAATATGCATGAAATTGTTTTTGGATATTGCCACTGCATTAAAGACTGGTGGGGTCTTTCGAAGAAAATTATTTTATATAAATGTATATGTAGATTATATGATGCATCATTACACTATGAAAAAATAAACTTCTTGTAGTGTTCATGTGATAAGAAGTACATAACAAATGTCCTCGTTACCTGGGCAGCATTTCTCAGTATGTTGTTATCCATATAAAACCTGTTGCTTGTATACTTCAATTATAAGATGTTCTTTTGTCTTACTTGTGGTTTCTGATTGGTTAACAGCCAAGTGTGCCACAGCAGTGGCAAAAGTTCACTATGATTGGTTAACATCCAAGTGTACCACAGCAGTGGCAGTATCACTGATTGGTTAACAGCCAAGTGTGTCACAGCAGTGGCAAAACTTCACAATGATTGATTAACAGCCAGATGTACCACAGCAGTGGTAAAGTTTCACTGTGATTGGTTGTGGTATTTTTCTGCTGTGATATTTTGCAGCATGTGGTATTTTATTGTGACTAACAGTAAACCCTGAAAACAACACACTGGCAGTGATATCTTCTATAAAATGCTGTGTAGTGTCACGTTCTGCTTACCACTCACGTGTGTCCAGTTGAGACTGACTTCATTCCATGAATTAGTTATAACACTTTTTTTTTTTACTGTGGAGATGCTATTATCAATGGATTAGTTGTAGTTGAAGATAATGATTTTAGCAGTGATGTAAGATGGTTACCACAGAGGACACCACTATGGTTGAAATGTTGGATTGAATGGTAGTATGGTGTAAGAAGTGTTTTGATTGGATGACAGTCTGTTGTGAACCGATGCTACATCAATAGGTTATGAATGTTATCAACCAAAATATGTGAGAGTCTTGTGAGGTTATTATCGTAGAAGTCTTGTGTGGGTATTATCGTAGAAGTCTTGTGTGGGTATTATCGTAGAAGTCTTGTGTGGGTATTATCGTAGAAGTCTTATGTGGGTATTATCGTAGAAGTCTTGTGTGGGTATTATCGTAGAAGTCTTGTGTGGGTATTATCGTAGAAGTCTTGTGAGGTTATCATCGTAGAAGTCTTGTGAGGTTATCATCGTAGAAGTCTTGTGAGGTTATCATCGTAGAAGTCTTGTGAGGTTATTATCGTAGAAGTCTTGTGTGGGTATTATCGTAGAAGTCTTGTGTGGGTATTATCGTAGAAGTCTTGTGTGGGTATTATCGTAGAAGTCTTGTGTGGGTATTATCGTAGAAGTCTTGTGTGGGTATTATCGTAGAAGTCTTGTGTGGGTATTATCGTAGAAGTCTTGTGTGGGTATTATCGTAGAAGTCTTGTGAGGCTATTATCGTAGAAGTCTTGTGATAAATAGGATGGAAATGTTGAAATCAACTTGATACTAATTAAGTTTATTATGTTAAAAGTAAGTCAGTGGTGTTATACATTGAGTATTTGACTTTATTATTCATATTTACTTCTCAAGAGTAAGAGCAATATTGTTGATTAAAATTAACTTTGTGTTTTATTTCTTACAGATGCGTATGGTCAAAGTTTCAGAAAATGAACCACAGCTCCTCCTCTTGTAGTTTAGATAAAAGATTGACTGTGTTAAGGTAAAAGGAATATGTTTTGGTTTTGTTAAAGTGATAAACTAAAGTGAAAAGTTATTAAAATGACAATCTCATAGTTTCAACAAAGATCTAATAACAATATAATTCAAAATTTTCTTCATAAAATATTGTAATAAGTGAGTCATATTGTTAGAATTTGTTCACTGACTTGCATTGTTTTTATTTAGTTTACGTTGTCAGTCATTACTGTACTACAAGCTTTACCAGCTAAGAAGACCAGAAGTTCGTGAGCTACAAAAGACAATTAATGAATATCACAAGGTAAGAAATTACAAGAGGGCTAAGTATCATTGTAACAACATTCCTAACTGTAATTATTGGAGTTGTAATTTGAATTGTAGTTTATTTTTTTATCATCTTGTTCTGGTTGTACAATTCTATGATAGTTTCATAACTAAGACTTTCCATGAACTAAAAACCAAATAACAAAAAATCATTCCATAAACAAAGGCACTACCAATCTGTAAATATAGCCAGTTCCAAACAAAATATAATTCTGTAAAAAAATCAAGGACCAAGAAAGGATGTTCTACTAATAAAACTAGTAACAAGTGAAGAATATTCTATAAACAAAACCAATACCCAACAGAGAACATTCTGCTAATAAAACTAGTAACAAGTGAAGAAATATTCTATAAACAAAACCAATACCCAACAGAGAACATTCTGCTAATAAAACTAGTAACAAGTGAAGAATATTCTATAAACAAAACCAATACCCAACAGAGAACATTCTGCTAATAAAACTAGTAACAAGTGAAGAATATTCTATAAACAAAACCAATACCAAACAAAAAATATTCTGTAAACA